ACCGAGAACCCACAGGAGAACCGCCCCGTTGGTCCGATCGACCTGTCACCGTTTCCTCGAGTGAAGCGGAGAGCTTGTTTATTTTTTTATTTTTTGTTTTGCTTGTTTTTATTTCCGGGCATAAAATTTACGTGGGAGGCTCACGAAGCCCCGGGGTTTTGCGACCCACAGTGGCGGTGCACCATGCCTGCCTGCCTGCCATGACCACCTGCCATGACCACCTGCCATGACCACCTACCATGCCTGCCTACCTGCCTGCCTGCCTACCATGCCTGCCATGACCACCTACTATGCCTGCCTGCCATGACCACCTCCCATGTCTGCCATGACCACCTACCATGCCTGCCTGCCATGACCACCTACCATGCCTACCTGCCATGCCTGCCATGACCACCTACCATGCCTGCCATGACCACCTACCATGCCTGCCATGACCACCTACCATGCCTGCCATGACCACCTACCATGCCTGCTTGCCATGCCTGCCTGCCATGCCTGCAAGCCTGCCTGTTATGCCTGCCTGCTTACCATGCCTGCCATGACCACCGATCATGCCAGCCACGACCACCTACCATGCCTGACTGCCTATGGTCACCTACCATGCCTGCCTGCCATGACCACCTACCATACCATGCCTGCCTGCCTGCAAGCCTGCCTGCTTACCATGCCTGCCACGACCACCTACCGTGCCTGCCAGCCATGACCACCTACCACACCGTGCCTGCCTGACACTCTTGGTGGTGGTAGTCACAAGTGTACAGATTATTTATTAACTGGGCAAGACGGAAAAAGAGTCAGAGGGCACCCAAAGTGCAGTTCTCCTTCTCCAGCAGTTCTCCGCTAACAGGTGAAGGTTAAGGCACAGCCCTGAAACTTCTGACGGCGTAACAGCCACTGCTAGGGGAGCCCCTCGGGGAGGGCAAGTGGCCTGCTCTTCCATTCTGACCACCCACCGACTCGTTCACTCACCACCCACCAACTCGTTCACTCACCACCCACCGACTCGTTCGCCCAGCTCACCCTTGCAACTGAGACTCAGGATCCCGGTGGGCACTCACCTGGTTAAACAAAATAACTTGAAGCTCTTTCAGCCTGAGAACTGGGCGTGCCTCCCTGTTTCGGAAGGCCCACAAATGACTGCTGTCAGTGCACACCGAGAGAGTCCCCACCGATAATATATTCCAGCCCGAGGACTGGGTGTCTATAAGACACCGAGCGAGGGAAAATTAAAATTCTCCGTTTCCGGCCCGAGGGCAGGGTGGTCTCCCTTTCTCTCTCAGGAGGTTCATAATGGCAGCGTCTGAGACACTGAGCGAGAGCATCGAGGGTGGTAAGGGTGATCCCTTGGGGGCAGGGAGTCTCTTTAAAGAAACCGAAAAAAATAAATCTCGAGTTATTTCCCACACTCACTACAACCGTAGGGCGTGCAACGACACAACGATTCAACGACTAAAATCCATTTTCACAATCACGTGGGCGAAAATAGTTTTTTTGCGCTGGGACGATAAATCGACTGTCGATTTCATCAACTCCATTTTTTTTTAAACGCGCTATGAACAAGTCATTACCCGAAATGCCGCCTGTTATATAATGTTTTATACCTTTAAAAAATCCTACCTCGCGAAGGTGGGAACCCCCCACAAAGCCACAGCCCGCTTGACACCGATAATGATGTCGATGACATCACCAAGCACAGCTCGTCGTCACCGCCCGTCCAGCGGCACACAGACGCAAACGGGGGGAGAGGTTTTTCCTCCCCCCCTCCCCTACTATTTTCGCGCTACCCGATTGGACGGTCAATCAATCCGACAATCGGCAGTCGTCGATCACTTCAACAAATGGACATCCGTTTATTTTACGTCAAAACAAGATATAATTGTGGGTTGTAAACGTGCGACACAATATTCGAGCAGGAAGGCCAACGAACGCCCAAGCTCTGCGGCCTCCTTACATATTAAGATGTTTTCAGCCAACGAGTATTCCAATGCCACAGTGGGTTGTGGACTGCGCTGTGAACTTGGCGACCCGAGTTCAATCCCTGGCAAGGGCTAACAGCGGCGGTGGTCCAAGATGGTCCTGGGCCTCCATATACACCAAACCGGGCTGACCAGCATGGCGAAGTATGGTTCAAACACCACCGATGACGGACAGGGAAATGGGAGGCCTTCAACCAGCGGTGGCCTGATTAGGGCCTCTAAATTGGCATTGTTAATTTTACTGCTTGTAAAATTAAACAAAACCGAAATCCAACTTAGATTTGGGCCTGTGAAGCCTTCGATTTCGAAGCCTCTTTTCGGCCAGCCATAACAGAGCAAACCTTCCACCGGACGAGGACGTGACGCAGACAGTCTCTGGCGAAATCAACATTGAACCGAAACATCCATGGCCCATGCGCTACCCACTGCTGGATGGACAGGTGCCTAACAACAACTCTGCTGTGCGGCGGGCGACTTTCATTGAAGTGGGCGAGAGCCGTGCATTCTCCTATTCACAGAAGGCACGTCGAAAACGCGAGGCGGCAGAAACAAAAACACGGCCAGCCAAACGGCCACGGCACAAATAACAACAAGGTCGACGCGTTCGCCAAAAGAGGAAGAACACGAACATGTAGGTGACGTTTCGGGCAAATGGCCCTTCCTCACAGCGGAGATTCGGTCAGGTGCCCGCTGCTGTGACGATGAAGAGCCACTTGCCTGCAACGTCATGTAATCGTCTGCCATGAAGAAGGGCCGTTCCCTAAAGCATCGGGCACATTGCTCAAATAATATTGTTCCACTGTAGGGCGGTGTTATTGACGAGCGTGTTGAGTTTTTGTTATTGGCTATCCACTGTGTAGACTTGCTGCAGGTAATAACAACTCCATGGTGCTCGTATAACTCAAACGTAATGGATGTTTTGCATTAAACCACACTCTGGTTTGCTCTTATGGATGACGACCATCACGATGACAAGCGAATGTGTGTATGTTGAACTTGTTTGGCACAGTACATAGCAAGCCGTGTAATAAATCGGAGTAGCGGGGGGTGGGGGGCCAAGCTAAACACCAATTAGGAGTCTCCACCGTCCGCTCTGGTAAAGCGGACGCATTAGCGAATTCCGCGCAATATCAGTGGCGAATGTTGGGGGGGGAGGCTTGAAGCTCCATGTCACACGAGAGAGGAGGGGGGTGCGAGCGAAACAGCGGCTCGCCGCACCTGCAATTCAAACCTGGGCGACAACGAATATTCAAAAAGAAAAATAACAATGACATCGGCGGGCGACGACATCTGAACTGGCCAATGGGGGTGTTGGGGGAGCTTTCGCCCTCGCTTCGCCAATTCGCACTGACCAATGTGGTAAAGTATGGTCAAACGTGGTGAAGTATGGTCAAACGACTCCCACGGCCCAAGGCAAGGTCGGCGGAGGGAGGGCCTTCGTTCAACAGTGGATCGACACATGGACCCCGATTAAGCGAGTGCAGTGCCCAGTTAAACAAGGAACGTCGGGCGTGTTTTCCTTGGCTGGTCTGGACAAGGTAAGCCTTCAAAACTCACGGGTGGCGGGCAATTGATGTGGCCGGTATGTCTCCGGTCGGCGATCACACAGCAGAATATTGAAAACAATGCGGTAGCGTTTCAACAACCATCAACACGCGCGTGCTGTATACATGCGTACAGCAGCAATGTTTGTAAGTCCACTGCCGGACGAAGGGACTTGCCCCACCACCCAGAGGCCGTTATTTGACCATACTTCACCACGCCGGTCAGTGTGGGCTGGGGGAGCACGGCACGGTGACTACAACAAAGGAATTTGCTGCATTATCAGACAATGCCGTGATTATTACAGAACGCTTATCTACAGTGCAGCACTAATGCTATTAAAATGGCAAAACCTACTGAACGTGGGAACCTCCCGAAAAAGCAGTCATGGGGCGCTAGTTTTTATTCATTGGCAGAAGGTATTATTAATAGTTTTGCAATAAATTCCATGGATGGGGTGTTGGTGGTTTGTGGTGGTGGGGAAGTAGTGACACAGCGGTTAGCGCACTATGCGATTAACCCCGCGACCCCAATTGCACCCAAATTCGATTCCGGTCTGGGCCCATGGCTGAGCCATCAGTTGGCGAGCGATGACCCCCCCCTCCACACCCCTCGACTGACCAGCGTGGTGAAGTATGGTCAAACCCCGAATGATCCACGCGGCGGTGTGTGGGCCGGGTATGGGGTGGGAGCCTTCATCCAGCAGTGGATTAACACATTTGTCGGTGTGCTCTATTAAGAGCCCCCCCCCCTCCACAAAGCTTAATTGTCGTTAACGGGAACTGTTAATTATCGTTAACAGTTCCCGTTAACGATAATTAAAATGTAAGCGTTACACACTTTTAACTTTTCCTTTCTCCAATTATTTACGTATCCGTGCCAAACGATTCAAACTAGATGAATACAAAAATATAGAATAAATATAAACGCTTGCAAAAAAACACTCGCGTCGGTCCAAAAAACGATGGATAGCAAGGGAGCTTCTCAATCACGGATAACGGCTTGGGTGAAGTAGTGGGGGGGGGGGTGGGCGAGAGATACAAAGACGGACGGGGTCGCAACCAACCCACCAACCCACACCACTCCCTTGCAGCATCTCGATCCGGTGGGTTGGCCATCAAGAACAAACCCACTCGAAGGGCCTCTGAACACACAAGAAGAATACGGGTTTGCAGCGGTAGAGTGGTTGGTGGTGAGTGTGGTGGTGGTGAGTGTGGTGGTGGTGAGTGTGGTGGTGGTGGCGAGTGTGGTGGTGAGTGTGATGGTGGTGGTGAGTGTGGTGGTGGTGAGTGTGGTGGTGGTGGTGAGTGTGGTAGGTGGTGGATGGTGGAGTGGGGTAAGGCCATTGGGGTTGTTGGATCAGATGAGATGGAAGAGAGAGTTGTTGCTGCTGCTGGTGGAGAGAGCGGAGAGTGGAGGGAGGGGGTTATGGGAGGGGGGGAGAGATTAGACAATGGGATGAAAAGAGAGCGTGGGCATTACCGTGTCTCTCCAGACGTCCAGACATGTCCAAGCAAACGGTGTTGCACCGTGCGACGACGATTTGGAATCGACTCGGGGAAGAACGGCAAGGGGAGCAGCAGCTCGGAGGTTGGGATGGAAAATGCGGGGCCACGGGGGAGGCGTCACGGGCTGACGATGTCCGGCTCGCTACATTTGTAACTTATTTTGCTTCCTGCCACCCCCACCGGATTTCCGATCTCCGCTACCGCCAGCCGGGCTCCTCCTCCTCCGGGCCCAGCCACTCCTCCTCATCCTCCGACTTCCAATCGCCACGGCTGCCTCCTCTCCCACTCTCCGCCTCCTCGTCAGCCCGGCTCCTCCTCCTTCCTCCTCGTCTGTGATGATAATTATAATAATCATGCATAATTATTAATTGCTCAAAGCTACAGCTCCTCCCTCCCTACTCTTCCCGCCCCGCCCCCCTGGATCCTCCTCCTATTCCTCTGTCTCATCCCTCTTGTGCCCGCAGCGTCTCCTCCTCCTCCCTCGTACTCCTCCTTAAGGACACGGCTCCTCCTCCTCTTTACTTTGCATTGTTATTGTGTGTGTGTTGTTTGTTGTTGTAACGTTATGACCCGCCCCCTACTAAACAGCTTCATAGCCCATCGGGTTCCTCCAGTACAAATATTCTAACTCTGACTTGGAGCCTGCTACTCCTCCTTCTTCCCTGTGGTGCTGACGATTCCTCTTCCACCTCCTCACCCTCATCCTGCCCCCTCCCGCCGCCCATTACTCTGTAAACTCCTCCCTTCTATATTTATGCGTCCCAATCGCCTTTGGCTCCTCCTCATATTCCTCCTCTTCCACCGAGTTGTGTGGCTCCTCCTCTTCCTCCGACCATTCCCCCTCGGCTCCTCCTCTCTTTCACGAACTCCTCTGCTCCTTCTCTTCCACCTCGCCTCCCACCCCAACTCCTTCGGCTCCTCCCGCTTCCTCTCTTGCTCCTCCCAACAGCCGCTGCTCCTCCTACGACCCCCCTCGACTCGTCATATCCCAAATCCCACCTCCCCATAATCCTACATCGTGTGAAGGTTTCCGATCCTTCTGTACAGGACTACCCCTCCACTTCACCTTTAACTCATCTCACTAAGATTCCTCCCGTGCTTTTCTACCTCCGTAACAACAACAACCGCCATTCGCCACTAAGTGGCGGTGACGTCACAACGACGCTTGTGCCAGGCTAGGTGCACGTTGAGGCCACGTGAAGTGTCCAACGCCCGCTGGCAGGAGGTCACGGGGCAGACCCAGCAGGTACCACGGGTCGACTGGCTGAGACGCCTCCGGAACGGCACCGCTTGCGCACACCCCCATCCTCTAGGGCCGTCCATAAATGACGTCACGCGATTTTGTACGAATTTTTACTCCCCCCCCCCCCCCCTTCGTCACAAAAAGTCAGACCCCCCTCAAATATGACGTCACAAAGCTCTGCCCCCCCCCCCCCAAATAAAACATGCTTCAAATCGCTTTAAACTATTGTCATTGTTGTCATTGTAGTGCGTATTTAATGTGGCGCTGCACTCTGATGCTGTAGGAGAAAACATTTATTAAAAAGTCTATTTAATTAAGTAGAACGTGTTGTCTATATTTAAAGTTGCGCATTCTGATGTGACGTCACGTTTTTTACCCCCCCCCCATCGTCAAACATGTCTGACCCCCCCCCCCCCCGGTAGGTGTGTGACGTCATATATGAAGGGCCCCTTTACTCTTCCAAGACTCCGTTATTCTCATCCTCGTTGATTCCTCCCTTTCCCCCATGGTTCCCATTGGGGTTGTTAAATTATGAGCGGTAATCTGGTAACCATTTTCGGTTCCGACCGGTCACGAACCGGTAACCGTTTCCATGGGAAGTTTCGTGACGAATTAAATAATTTCATATGATGGAGCCCATTGTTTCAGCTGACTGGAGCAGGGAGATTGACATTTAAGAAATGTGCCAAATTTAAAACAATTAATAAATCAGAAAATGCGCCAAATTTGTTACAAAAAATACACGGCAAAATACTCAATTGGATTATACATCGGAATCAGGGCATTTATTCTATTTGTACTGGACGAATCAGATGAGCTATAAAGCTCTTTTTTCATCGCACGCTACCGAGAAATCTTGACAGGGCCTCCTCCTCTTGGACGAGTCACGAGACTGATCTCCCGTGGTAAACAAGCGTGATGACAACAACAATAACATCTCTTCAAGCACGGTCCTCCAGATACCATCGACAGCCAGCAGAGGGCATCTCTGCCATTGCTTTTGATGATGCACAACCCCCACGCGCTGTTGGTCATGGGCAGGGGTCAGCAAACCAAAATAACAAGAGGTGAGTTTTTTTGTTCGAATGCCGTAAACAAACAAAACACCCCCTCAATATTTCAAGAGACGCAATGAACGTGAACACGAGACTGGTGGGCTCTTAATGAGCCGCATGCGGCTTCCGAGCCGCGGGTTGAGGACCCCTGGCGATGGTCCGTGCGCGTTGAAGGGTAAGAAGGTGGATCAGGAACGGTTCGAATGTCAAAACGCCGGCTCGGTAGTTGCCTTACTCGTCCAGACTTCCTGTAACAGGGTGGGAGTAACCCATTAATTATCCCACCACACACGCAGAGCCAAGGCCGTAGCCATGGATTCAACATTGGGGGGGACCAAATCTTCCAGGGGGACTGGGGGTCTCCCCCAAGAAAAAAAAATCTCAATTTGAAAACGAATTTCCTGCCATTTCCTGCCTAAAATGTAAAACAATTCACTAACACATAGGATGGACTTTTTCTTTATTTTTTACAATAATGTCTAATACTGTATTGTATTATATTGCTGTTTTCTTTCTTTCTTTTTTTACCTTTTCTTGTTTCATTGTATGTAATGGCAGAGATTAGGGATTAATGCAGTACAACCATAACCACACTCACAGAAACAGAAATCTATTTTATAGCAATATATTGGGGGGGGACATTTTGAGCATATTTGAATATTATAATTATGGCCTTGCGCAGAGCCGTCCCTAGGGGAACGGGGAATCGGGGCGATCACCCCGGGCCTCGCACAGATGTAATACGTTTGGTTCCGTTTGGAGGCGTCGGGGGATTTCCACACGGTGGGGTTTGCCCGGGGGCCTAGCCACCCCACCACTGTGGGCGGCCCTGCACACACGACCTTCCAATTGACTCTGCTGTAGCCATTTACATTGCTGGGTGCGTTGGACTGAGTTGGGGTGGAAGGCGCAGGGAGAGGTAGGTTGGGGGATGGGTTTAGACATGTGGCCCGCTGTTTAAATTGCCGCTCCACGAACCGGTGACCTCTGGATCGCAGGTCGAATGCGCGCACCCTTTGCAATTCGGCAGCGTCTCCAAACCATCCACCAACTCGAATTAGTTTTTTTGGGAGGAGCGGTGGCGCGCGCCGGCGCAGTTGTATTCACGCGCTGCACTTCGAACCCGTCGACCCGAGTTCGATTCTCCGCAATGGCCAACATCAGTGGCGTGAGACATCTGACTGGTCCCTCCGCCACCCGTCTCATCTTCCAAATCATGGACCAGAATGTTCGTTTGTGCCTCTCGCCCTGTTGCAATGGCAATACGACGATACATCTGCTCAACGTGTCGTAGGTCACCCCCATCGTGGCTGCACGTTTCCAACAATGTATCACATCCTCGATGCCCCCCCCGTAAGATCTTTAAATGGAGGTACAGCTGACATAATTGGGCTGGTGGAAACGCCACCAAACGGCCAAACAGTCTGGTCCTAAATATTGAAATCGCTCTCACTTCAATTTAGCCATACGAGAGAAGAAGAAGAAAAACGTAGATTGCAACAACAGAAAATGCGATTGTCTTTGGAGGGATTGATGCATTATATCAGCAATGCCACCGTGGAATTCGCTGGCGTCAGTTGACCCAGGCCTTGTGGCCGCTGTTGGCAGTCGGAGCAGGACCGAGGAATGTTCACTTGCGGTCGCTGGCATCATCCCCGTCGGTCCACGCTCGCAGCGAGCTGGGACCTAACACGCCAGACAGCCCCCGGCACGGCTGCTACTCGAACCCCCCACCCATGTGTTTTCGGGGGGGGGGGGGGGGTTGCACAGCGTGTTGTTCGGCGTAACGCACTCAAAGCGCCGCACGGATAAATTTGGGAATTCTATTTCTGCTTTGACATCTCCTGGCCACCTCATCTGATTGAAAAAAAAATGTGACCAGGTAAGCGCCCACTGAGCTATGTAGCTCTTTTTCAGAAGCGACCTGGCCGTCACAAATGATAGCTCACACGAAAGTGGCTTATCGTGGTGTGGAAATTTACGTCGGTAATAAAATGAATGAGTTAAATGATGACGTCACCCTGCTGCTCTATTTAAGGCCGGGAGCAAGTGAGGGCTTCACTATTCTGGCAAATTGCCCGATGATGCTGGATGTAATTACCAGCGAAACGTCGCACTCAAAAATTGTAAATGTGGTGGATTCACTCTTAAACACACCGGTGGGCAAAAGTAGTGAACTACCGTATTTGTCTTTTGTCAACGTGACACTTTTTACTGATTTGTCATGTCAGGTGGTGGAGGGTTATAAATAACGCGATCTAACCCAAAAACGTTTATTATGAATAAAATGCTATAAACGCGTGTTGTTGATTCTAAAAGTGGCGCGGGAAGAAAACGGGAAGACCCGGAGAAAAACCCACGTGACCACGGGGAGAAAGACACCGCAATCTTCAAATATACAACAGGCGTCAAAGGTCTGGATCGAACCCACGACCTCCTCCATACCAGGCGAGGTAGCCAACATCTCGGCATCCTTTTGAGTGGCACCCTTAAGCGAGTGCCACCCTAATACTATATTCATTCACAATTATGAAAATAAATATAGATAAAACAATACATATTTAATACGTTAGATGCAGTCCGTGGTGTAATGATTAGCACAATGGACTCTCAATCCATCGATCACCGAGGTTCAATCTCTCGGCAAACAATGGTGTAAGGTTATCACATACCCCTTGCTGCTGTCCAGCCAGCGGTGCACGACTGTGCTCACCGCAGTTGAGACGATTTGGCAGGTCTCTTGTGGTGGGTTAAAGTGTGGGTAACTCACGCCTCTCTCCATCGTGGAAGAGTGGGCCACAAACTCCTGAAAGCGATAACGCCTCTCGGTTCACCCGGCAGTGTGGTGGGGCAAAGCGTGGGTTCTCCCACCACTTTTAAGACGTATGGCTCGGCGTGGAAGAGTAGGCCAAAAAATTACCCCCCTGGAGGAAGCTTCCTTTAAGAGCTGGCTCTGTAGCGAGAGGCCCTTCCACCGGCAGCGATGTTGGCAAGAAACTTCAGGGGTGCACCTTAACCGTTGTTTATGTAAACGACAATAAAAACATACATACACACGTGCAGTTGTATCGTGGTGTCTTTAATGAGACACTAATGCACCGGAGCTCGGGCCGAGTTGACTCGCGCTTGAAGGAAAGAGGAATCTATGTACACGCGCGCACACATTGCGAAATTCAATAACGTTTATAAATAAGTGGCCTGAGTGTCAATCCCCACAGTTCATCCTCAGGCATCAACAGAAGCCGGAGGTGGCCTCTCAATTTGTACCAACTTTTTCAAATTGTCAAGGAGGCAAGAACACACAGGTCCGTGGAAAACCCGGGTTGAGGAGGCTACAAGGTCCGCCTTGGGTATTTCCAGTCTCAGGTGGAGGTGGATGCATTTGTGAATGCTGCTGCTTGACGGTGATGATGCTGCTACTGCTGGACCGGTGCTGGACGTCAACCAGGCAAGTCCTCCTGGGGGAAGCTGCGTGCGTCCGTCCGGTAGAGAAAGCGTCGATCGCGAAGCCACCGTTGTTCACATTCCAGTTTAGTCATTACAATTACATTACAATTGTCCAATCGGCGTCATGTCAGGGCGATGAAGACACTTCTGTTGAGAACTCTGGAGCTAGCGGTGCATCACCCTGTGTCGGGGAATACCCATCCCCCCTCCACGAATAAGATATCACAAAACTACTTCCGAAGTCACTTCCAATCGAACTCTTTGCCCACACGAGTGGCAGACCGTATACATGCCCTGCTCAGAGTGAATTTGGCAAGTCAATAACGCCAAAATGTTATTGTTTAAATTTTCAGAGCTGGATTTTTTTTTGCCAAAGTAATTTTTCGAAATCAATTAAATATTTGCGTGTGCAGGCATTGCTATGCAAGCCAAAACCATCATTCCTCTCCACTTGAGGGCCGCAGTTCAATCCCCGACAGCTGCCGAAACCCAGATTCGAACCCCGGATTTCAGCGTTTCGGCGATCTGACCTTCGAGTCCACCCACTGATCTCCCATTCCAGATTTTCAATTAATCCGCTCGCGCAAACCACCTGGGGCCGGCAAACCCAAGCTGGAGTTTGTTCCACCCTCAAACTGGATCGGCGAACCTCCTCCACTGCGAAACCGCCTGGCACACAAACACAGGGCTAAGCCACCTTGCTCCGATGACATTCGCCGAAACACTATTCACCGGGCACGTAAAAAGGTTGCGGCCCCCGGTGTAGATAACGAGGTATGATACATATATATAAAAGAGCGACTTAGGAAGTAGTTCTGTCACGCCATCTTCTGGGAACCGTTCTCCGACACGGGGTGGGTGGCACTGCCAGCCAGGGGCTGGCACAGGCTGCGACGGCAAAACCCCGGGGGGAGATGAGCAGAGCCGATCGTCGGGGCTCTTCCGCCGGTCCCTCTCACGAACGCCGATCGAATCTTCTGCTCGGCGCGAGCCGGGGATGTCTCAGCCGGGGCACCCTCCGCATCGCTCGGGTTCACTTCGCCTGCTCCCATGGTAAAACCCATGGTGAGAGCCAGGGCTTGGGTCCACACCTCCCAGCAGTCTTACGCACGTGCACGTGCACGCACTCGTTTCAAGTTTACCGGACGTCCAATACGGTACACATCCGGGTTGCAGGCGCATTATCGGTTTTTTTTTTTTTGGGGGGGGGGGGGGGGGTCCGTGAATGCAATTCTGCACGCGGCCGCCAACGTCTTTGCAAGTTTTTTTTGCCTTACAACACACACAGGGCCACACAGAGCCGGGCGAGGGCGGGGGGATAGCAAGGGGGGGGGGGAATTTGCTTCCAGCCTCACACAAAAGAGCTCCCCCCTCCCCTCCCCTACACAACGGGCCTGTAGAACCCCCCTCACCCACGTGGCATTCTGCAGGGCCTCCCAGAGGTTCCTGGAGGCACTGGACACACACACAAAGACAAAGATCCCCCGCATAGCCTTTAACAGACATACGAAGGCCGGCACGGCACGGGAGGGGGTGGGTGGCCAGCACCACGCACGACCGCCTTAGTCTCCCCAGTGGCGATGTTTTACACACCGCACCAGGTAGGTACTCATTTGAGGCTGAGTCGACCTAGGGGAGGCCCAGGACCGGTTCAGACAATCGTCACTGGTGTCGGAAGGCCCTGGACACACGCGCGCGCGCACACATGGAATGCTCCACAAAAATCAACGTGTGCATGTCGCTGTTCAAGCCATCGATTTGTGCATGCATTCGTCCGTCGTGAAACAAGCGCGACGAGCGCGCTGTAAACAACAACAACAACAAAAACCACGCGCGCGCATTTCAAAACGGGCCGCACGGTACGTGCACAACGCGCGAGCGCGCGTGTTGCGGGCGCGAAGGGAGGCAGCGTCGCCTCTTGACATGCGCGCACGTCGGCGACGACGACAATTTACAATTGTCACGATGCGGCACATGACTTGACGGACGTCTCGGGAGCGCAGGATTACAAAGGGGGAAGCGGGATGCAGCGCACGAGTCACCGAGCAAGGGAGGGAGAGAGGAAGGGAGCGGGCTCACTCACCCACCCACACGCTCACCTACCCACACGCTCACCCACAGACTCATCCACCTAGCCACTCACCTACACTCTCATTCACGCACTCGTCCACCGATCCACTCTTTCACCCACCCACTCAAAAGAAAGCCAGAGAGGAAGCAGCTCACCCATTGACTCACCCACACTCTTACTGACCCACCCACTCTCTCACTCACCAAACTCACCCATTGACTCACCCACACTCTTACTGACCCACCCACTCTCTCACTCACCAAACTCACCCATTGACTCACCCATACTCTTACTGACCCACCCACTCTCTCACGCACCAAACTCACCCATTGACTCACCCACACTCTTACTGACCCACCCACTCTCTCACTCACCAAACTCACCCATTGACTCACCCATACTCTTACTGACCCACCCACTCTCTCACGCACCAAACTCACCCATTGACTCACCCACACTCTTACTGAGCCACCCACTCTCTCACTCACCAAACTCACCCATTGACTCACCCACACTCTTACTGACCCACCCACTCTCTCACTCACCAAACTCACCCATTGACTCACCCACATTCTTACTGACCCACCCACTCTCTCACTCACCAAACTCACCCATTGACTCACCCACACTCTTACTGACCCACCTACTCTCTCGACCCACCAAACTCACCCATTGACTCACCCACACTCTTACTGACCCAACCACTCTCTCACCCACCCAACTCACCCATTGACTCACCCACACTCTTACTGACCCACCCACCCACTCTCTCTCTAACCCACCAAACTCACCCATTCACTCACCCACACTCTTACTGACCCACCCACTCTCTCACTCACCAAACTCACCCACTCACTCACTCAAGAGAAGGAGAGAAATGAACCAATGTAGGGGACCTCCGAAAGTGTGGCATTGACAAGGAACATTTTCGGGACAGCCTTGAAGGCAGTGAGAGAGGGAGAGAGGGGACCGGACGGAGTTGCCCTGAGCCGAGAGTTCCAGAGGGTGGGCTAAAACGACAACCGCCAGTGGTGGAGCAGCGGGTCCTGGGAGCGAGGAGTACCGAGTCAGGATGCTTTCGCCTAGGACTATGGTCGGCGCGACACGGCGACGCTACGAAATATCGTACGGAATAAGATCCAGACATATCGGATGGTTCGTTTTGCAAAATTTTTGCATCGTTACCGCAGGCCGTTTTTTGTTTGTTTGTTCCCGGAGTGTTTGACGGCTTGACAATATAGTTACTGCAATTGTAAATCAATAGATAGATGTTATCCACGAATATGTATTCTTCATGAGGCGAGGACGCAGCTTTACAGCCTGCTGCCAAAACGAATGTGGCAGACAATTTCTGCTTCCGCAGCAACCAGATTCATTCTTCATCTCAAGCTCGCACCCCACCCCTCCTCGCAAATCACCTCACCCTCACGCCTCGTCGCATTTCAGCTCCGTCCATCGGCCAAAACCCTGCTAAGGTGGCGCCGAATTGCGTGGCTCCGGAGAGACGACGTGCCACGAACGTCGACCGATCCGGAATCTCTTCCGCGATGTAAAGGCCGCAACGGTCCATCTCAATTGCCCTTCCGCTCTCAAACCGGATTTCTCTGCTTGGACATTCTTTTTGGGGATTTTAGTGCAAATGCTGCCCGATGATCGTCTACACTTCTCGCGGTCGGTCATCCGCAGTCTGCGTTCCGTTGATGTTTCTTTGCCGATGGTAAAAGATTTGTTTCTGCAACCAACTCAACCGCAATGCCCCCCCCACCCCGCCCGCCGGTCCCGTCGGGAGCTCCGTAGCTAAGGAAGTTCGAGAGCCTGGATAAGCGCTTGCTTGGATGGGTGACTGCCATTGCATAGGAGGGTCTCGGGCCTCGATTTCAGGAGGGTCCTGTCTCGGGATGTTTGACCCAATTTGATTCACGAGTTTTTTTTTTTTTGGTCACGTGGGAGCTAACTGGAGTAGCTGAAGAAACCTCATCACGCTTTAACAGTGGGGGGGGGGGTCACTCGAAGCTCTGCACAGATGGATTCAATCCTCCGATAGACTCAACTACCTGACTATATATTCTTGGTTCTTTCGGTAAAATCACATAGAAGGGAAACAATAAAATAATAAAAAATATTGTTATTTTATTGTTTCCCTTCTACGTGACTTTACCGAAAGAACCAAGAATATGAATCCCTGCAGTCACGAAAGCTTTAAATCGAAATTTACCTGACTATATGTATATACAGACTGAGCCCCTTGCTGTGCTACCATCTCCTGACCATCTAGCAGCCCCACGACACCTGGCACGTGCTCGTTGTCACACCATCAAAGCGGTGAGCAGGCACGCCCCACCCGCTGAGCTTTCTGAGATCCGACGGGACGCAAGATAGCGCGATGTGTCTACAGGCCCGGTCGCGCAACTGTGATCCCGCAGCAATAATAATAATAATAAAAAAACGCCACCCGGTTTCCCGTCGTGCTACCCCCCCCCTCGGCGTTCGCAAAGTTGACGCGGCGCTGGACAAAAAAGGTTTGCGCCGCGGGTTTTCCGTCTTCCCGTCCGCCGATCGTGGTGGCCCTGGCGCAGCGTCGGCGGTCGGCGAACGGGCGCGCAAAACCGCAACCTCCGGTCCGTTCCGACGGAACGGGAGGGCAGCTTCGGTGGGGGAAGGGGAGGGCGGGTCGAAATAATAAGTATTTATTATGGTAACGACGATGTAAACGGGAGATGTAGGCGTGGAGAGAGGTGGTCACGCTGTGGACGTTCGTGTGCGCAAAAAAAGCGTTCCAAGTTGGTTCCACAGCGTTTCCGGATCATCCGGCGCCAATATTCCGGATTAGTCCCAGCGAGGTTCGTACGTTTGGCCGACGGTACAATTTACAGCCAGTCGCCTGCCACAGCAAGCACGACGGCCTCCCCCCCACCCGGTGGCCAGTTCGTTTCACAGCGCTTGACCGCACGCCGCGCCTTTGGCGCGGGTCGGTGAGCAGTTTAGAACGTCGCTCGAGCCACCGATAACGGACGCGCCGCTACGGCTCCACCACCTACAGCCGCTCCGACAGCCGCACCCCTCTGCGCCGACGCGTCACCGCGTCGAATGGCGACGGCTCCGTTCGCTCGGCGGTCGGCGTCGCCGCGCACGACAGCCCCTCCCCAGCAGCCGGATCCGCTAACGCTGGACTATGCTGCTGATGTCGCGCACGCACGCCAAGAGGCCCACCGGCGCCGGGTACCCCGAGCCGCCGGCGGGCGCCCCCTGGAGTTCTCGGAGGCCCGCGTCGAGCCTGGCGACGGCTTCCCGGAAGGCGAACCGCTCGCGCGACTGCGGGATGTGGTCGGCGTAGCGGCTGCAGCACTGCAGGAGGTGCGCGACGCACTCGAGCAGCACGCCGGCGCCGCTCCCGGCGGCCGCCGGCCGCTCCCGGCGGCCGGCGCCGAGAGCCTCGCGCAGCGAGCGCAGGCGCTCGAGCACCACGTCCTTGGAGACCTCGTCGCCCGCGGCGTCGCCCGCGGCGTCGCCGCCGCCGGTGCCGCCGCCGGTCCCGCCGCCCTCCCTCGGGTCGTCGTCGCCGCAGCCGGCCGCGTGCCGGGCCCGCCGCGGGGGCGTTCGCGGCGCCAGCTCGGCGCCGTGCGGGGAGCAGCCGGTGAACGCCGAGGTGGAGGGGGAGGAGGAGGAGCGGCGCGGCGTCGGCGTGGCCTCCGCGTCGCCGGATCCCGCCGCGGGCCCGTCCTGGCCGCCGCGATCACCGTCGCTTGAAGAGTCGCCGCCGCAGCTGCGCCGAGACGGCGACGGGGAGCAGCCGGCCTCCTCTCCGCCCTCACAAGACGCCGCATCCCTGCAGCTGGGACTCGGCCGCTTGCCGGGAGCGGAGGACGTCTGGGCGGGTTTGAAGGCGAGTTTCGCGCCGGCCGGCGACGCAGATGCCGGCGGCGTCGTCGCTTTCCCCGGCTTGGTAGGCGGCGGTAGCGCGACGCCGCCGCCGCCGCCGCCGCCGCCCTTCCGCTTGTCCACCGCCCCTTCCGAGGCTCGCACGCCCATCGCGGGGATGCCGCGCGGCCTCGGCGTCTGCGCGTCGGCCGGGAAGATCCGCACGCTCCCCGCCGGCACACAGTCCACCTGGCGGACCAGCGGCCAGCATTGGCGCTGCTGAAACACGGGCGAGTCCGACGACGAGTCGATGCTCCGCTCCGCCGGTGGGCGGCTGCCGTTCTGACCGGCCCGCCCGGGCCTCGACGCCGCCGGCCTCAGCCTCTCGGACTGCATCGTCCGCTCAAACTCGTCGTCCGAGTCGTCCAAGTCGTGCTCCTCGTCGCACGACGATGACGGAGCGGAGAGGAAGCTGCGCAGCACGACGGGCGCGCCGGTGGCGGCGGCGGTGGCGGCGTTCGACAGGCTCCGCTTGTCGTCCCGCAGCAGCAGCAGCCGCCTGGAGAACACCGAGATCTCCGGCACCTCCGCGATGGAGGAGGAGGCGGCGGCCGGGTCGGCGGCTCCCGGGCGGCCACGGGGTTTGAAGGGGCAGCGGTTGTCGCGCACGAGGCTCACAGTTCTCCCGACGGGGAACTCGGCGCCCGACTGCGCCGAGGAGGCGGAGTACGAGCGCGTGATGACGCCCTGCTGCTGCTGCAGCAGCAGCAGGGCGTCATCGCGCGTCATCACGCGCTCCTCCCGCTTCAGCGCCAGGTCGCTCGCCGCGACGCCCATCGGCTTCTTCACGAGCCGCGGCGTGAACAGTCCGGCGAGGACGGCCAGCCTGCTCCCGCCGGCTCCTCCTCCTCCGCCGCCGCCGCCGCCGCCAACACCCGCGTGCCCGTTGCTCACGCCGTTGCCGGAGTTGCACCGCGCCCTGCCCTTGCCGCAGCCGGCGCCGCCGATTCCGCCGAACGACGACGGCTGCGGCTGCGGCTGCGGCGGCGGCGGCACCACACTCACGTGCACGAAGCCCTCGCCCGCATCCGTGCCGCCACCACCGCCAACCCCCGTCGAACCATCCCACGGGCCCCGGAAGGAGCTGCTGCGCTTGGGCGGCACCGGCGTCGGGGTGCAGCGGAGGCGGCGGATGAACGAGCCGAAGATCCAGCTGCTCTTGCGCTGGGGCTGCAGGCGCCTGCCCTCGGGGCTGCCCTGCCCGTTCGCCACCAAGCTGCTGCTGCCCTTGTTGTTGTTGTGGGCCGTGGGCTTGCCGGCATCTCCCTTGGGCGATGATTGGTCCGCCTTCCCTGCGAGCGGTTGGGAGGGGAGTTAAAAAAAAGTTACGTATTTTTTTTTATTTTGACGATTGTTTAGCTGAAGAAGGCCTCGCTGAGACTCGCCTTTTTTCAGGAGGGTTCAGCCACGTTTTAGCAGAAGGGGGCGATCTTGCTCTGCATGTGATCCCTACTGAGTAACGTTGCAGGGCATTTTTCAGCATTGGGGTGTTTGGCCCAATACTAGTTAGGTTATTCAGGGGTTTTTTTGCATTCGGGAGGAAACCGGAGAACCCAAAGGAAACTAATGTGGAACAGGGAGGAGAACATACAAACTCCATACAGGAAGGCGAACCGGGTCGGGAATCGAACCCAGGCTCTGTCAGGCACATCCTTGCCGCCCAAATGAATTAACGGCTCGTTGTCAATCCTGGCGACATGAGATTGATTCCCATCCAGGGCTAATATGACTGGCGAGGCAGATCTGAACTGGTCCTGTGTGTCCCGCCTACACCCTCCAGCACCGATCGGCAAAGCGTGCTGATGGGTGTTTGTTAGTCATGGACTTCTTTTGCACCGTACATATCCAACCCCGCCAATCGGAGGTGCGGGGGAAGGACAACGAACTAAACACAAAACAGAAGCTCCAATAAAATTACTTTTCAATCTAGATTTAAAAGTGCATCGCTCCAGTGGCTTCCTAATATCGGAAGGAAGAGCGTTCCAGACGGACGCAGAAGCGCGTCTGAAAGCGCGCGGTGCGGTGACCGTCTTTGTTCAATGGCCAGCCAAAAGCCGCTGCGAGCGATGACCGGAGAGTTTGCGTGAAGGTCGTAACTGAGTTGCGTGAAGGTCATAACTTTCTGACCCGCCCTGACCGGACACCTGTGAGAAAGAGCTTCGTAGCTCATCGGATTTCTCCAGGATAAATAAAGACTCTGATTCTGCGCAGAGTGCGGTCAAACGTCCATCCAATGTCGCACGCTGCGTGGCAATTAAAATGATAGGGGGGGGGGAAGTTTATTAATCCCCCCCCCCGCCCCCCACCACCACCACCTCTGTCTGCCCAGTTTGTTGTCTTTCTCTCCACACCTCCGATTAGCACGGTTGGCTACGTACGGTGCGAAAGAAGTTCAACACACGTTCGTGCGTACAACCCCACACCGATCACATCTCGAAGGAGTATAAATGGGTACGATTGGCAGGCTGGCGCGTTGTGGGGTAAAGTTGTGGGTACTCCAAAGTGCGAGTAGGCCAAACTCTAGAGAGAGGTGGGGGGGGGGGTGGTGGGCTGAGGTGGGGAGAGGGTGCTCTCTAAACCCCCGGCCACGCCACACCCGTGCAGTTGCCCTCACTCACGGAGCTCGCAGTCGACCCTGGCCTCGAGAGGGGACTTATCTCCCTTCTGCTCGGGCGTCCGCCGCGACTTGGTGGGCAGCACGGGCGCCTGCAACTCGCTCGGCTTCTTCTTGCCGAGCTCCTTTTCAACTTCTGTCAAGTGAGACGGCGGCGGCGGCAGCGACGGTGGGGCAGGTGCCCCGGTGCGGTTGGGGAGATAAACAAAAAGCTGGCGTCTTAACATTTACATTATTTTTTTTTTCCACCGTTCCAAAACTATGCGCGGCTTTGAGCGATTAAGCAAAGCTTCTTCTCCGACCGACGCGTTCACCGAGGTCACGTTTAAGTGACTTTGCCCCACGTGAGAGGGCAGAGCAGAAAAAGGCCACCCCGCCCACCCCCCACGCCACGCACAACAGACACACACATACGCAGGCAAAGACCCCACCCCCGCCTAGACTTCAGCAGACCGTTGCGGCACGTGCTGTTAGCGGGCGCCGTTGAAGGCCGGAATGGCGCACAAAGGGGAGGGTGACCAGCGTCGTGCCCGGGGCCGCGTTGGTCTCCCTCGGGTGCCGATGTCGTTCACACGCCGCACGCGGTACTCGTATGAGGCTGAGTCGACCTAGGGGGAGGCCCCGGCACCGGTTCAGACAACCGTCAATGATATCGGTCGTGACGCTGGGAATCGAACGCGGGTCGATTGATTCCCGCGCAGCGACGTGGTCAGTTCGCCGTGCCGTGAACCCGGCGACCAAAGTCCCGATTCCCGCTCAGCACCAATAATTAAGTGGCGGATATCTGAACCGATGCTGGGCCTCCCCTAGGTCGACTCAGACGTATAAATATAGCTGCTGTTGCTGAGTGTAATAAACATCAGCGCTGCGGGAGACAAATGTGACCGGGCATGGTGTTGGCTGCCCGCCCCCCTCGTGTGCCGTGCCGGCCTTGTTAATAGGTGCTCGCGAACAGCACTTGCTCCAACATTCTGTAAAGGCTATACGGGCAGGGGCGGGGGGGGGAGGAAAAATCTTCGTCTTTGTTTTTAATCCATCGGTGGTGCGGGCGGTGATGTTTGGTGGTGCCAAACGAACCGTCTGAAATGCTTGAGTCGTAGAACATGGTCTCGAAGGCCTGGTGGGTCTCGCTGAAGGAGAGGCGATCCTGCGGGTTCCACTGCCAGCCTGGGACACAGCGAGCCAAGAAACACAATCGCCTACCGTGCGCGGACTCTCCCACAAGTGCTGTCGGGCGAGTTATGCTTTAATTTAAATAATAATAATAATAATACATTCAACTTGTAACGCCCTCGTAGAGAGGCAGACGATTAGAATGAGAATCTTTATTTAGACCGGGAAAGGAATCCGATGAGCTGTGAAGCTCTTTTTTTTTTTAAAAGATGTCCAGTACGGGCCACGCGGGTCAGCGAATTACAGCAGCAAAAAGAGACAGAGGTGCTAGGGGGAAACCACAGACAGGTAGGAAAGGAAGCCAGGTGGTGAAGTTGGCGCCAACTCTTGCCCAAGCTCTGCCGATACTGCACATATCAAGTTGTTTTCAGCAAATCAGTGAGTGTCTCTACGTGTGGGGTGAATGGGAAGTACCCGGAGATAAGCCGCGCTTGCGAGGGGGCAACACTATCTCTCCGTGTACGGATTGGAAACAGATGGCGATGAGTCATCTTGGTTGTCCCGCCGTCTCCTGGCGAGCTATGGCGGCGTGGTGTGGCGCCTCGCCGCCCACGGGAAGGGAGTTTCGCAACATGTGTGCGATCCGCCAACCCCCCCCGCCGCCTCCGCAGCGACAGATTGTAGGCGTGCGAGTGGCCGCCACCGCCCTGCGAATTATCAAAGGGCAGGCGTGGTGGGCAAGGCTTTGGCGTGGACTAGTCCAACGTCCAGCCGCCCCTTGTCTCCCAAGTGCTGCTGTGTACACGCAGCACCAGGCAAGTGTCTAATGTCGAGTCAGCCAAGAGGCCTACTTTTTCACGCCGGGTCAGATGTCTCGGAAGGGATGGGAGTACCCGATACTTTACCTCGCCGCGCAAGCACCGCCTGCCGATTCACGAACGTTTATGCGTCGGGCAAAAAAAAAAAAGCAGCAGCGGCCAACCACCCTCGCGGGCAGGACCCTCTCTCGCGGGACCCTCGAGACTCAACGAAGCTTCGGCAACTCACATGAGCGCATGAGCTGGTAGACCTTTGGGGGGCAGCCCTCGGGCTGCTCCATGCGGTAGCCCTTCTCCAGGAGGTCGTACACCTGCGTGAGGTCGATGCCCGGGTACGGCGACATCCCGTACGTCGCGATCTCCCACAGGAGCACGCCAAACGCTGCGCACGTGTACGCAGACGTACGCACGAAAGACGAGGATCCCCCCCCCCCCCCGCCATAGACTGTTGGGGCAAATGCTGTTAGCGAGCACCTATAAAGGCCGGCATGGCACACGTGCGCTGAACTTATTTCGCACCGCGCGTAGCCAACGGTGCTAATCGGAGGTGTGGGGGAAGGACAACAAACCAAACACAAAAGGAAGTTGTAAAGAGATAAGTTTTCAATCTAGAGTTAAAAATACAAAGCTTCAGTGACTTCCTATTAGAACACACTGACGCCAGGTAGTCATTTAAAACTAAACTATTAAAAACAATTTTTATTTTACCAGGTAAGGCCCAATGAGCTATATAGTTCTTTTTCAGAAGCGACCTGGCCACAAATGATAGTTCAACGAAGTGGCTTATCATGTTGAAATTTAAACGCACGTTTCTAAATGTGGAGGGAAAAACCGGAGGACTCGGAGAAAAATCCACGCCACCACGGGGAGAGAGAGAGACATGCAAACTCCAAATATACAGCAGGCGTCAGGGTCGGGATCGAACCCACAACCTCCTGTATACCAGGCGAGGTAGTCAACATCTCCTAGCCACCGTGATGATGATGAGAGAGAGCGACACGCAAACTCCAAATATACAGCAGGCGTCAGGGTCGAGATCGAACCCACGATCTCCTGTATACCAGGTGAGGTAGTTAACATCTCCTAGCCACCGTGATGATGATGAGAGAGAGAGAGACACGCAAACTCCAAATATACAGCAGGCGTCAGGGTCGGGATCGAACCCACGACCCCCTGTACACCAGGCGAGATAGTTAACATCTCCTAGCCACCGTGATGATGATGAGAGAGAGCGACACGCAAACTCCAAATATACAGCAGGCGTCAGGGTCGGGATCGAACCCACGACCTCCTGTATACCAGGCGAGGTAGTTAACATCTCCGAGCCCCCGTCATGATGAGAGTGAGAGAGACACGCAAACTCCAAATACACAGCAGGCGTCAGGGTCGGGATCGAACCCACGACCCCCTGTACACCAGGCGAGATAGTTAACATCTCCTAGCCACCGTGATGATGAGAGAGAGAGACACGCAAACTCCAAATATACAGCAGGCGTCAGGGTCGGCATCGAACCCACGACCTCCTGTATACCAGGCGAGGTAGTTAACATCTCCTAGCAACCGTGATGATGATGAGAGACACGCAAACTCCAGATATACAGCAGCAGGCATCAGGGTCGGGATCGAACCCACGACCTCCTGTATACCATGCGAGGTAGTTAACATCTCCTAGCCACCGTGATGATGATGCGAGAGAGACACGCAAACTCCAAATATAAAGCAGGCGTCAGGGTCGGGATCGAACCCACGACCTCCTGTATACCAGGCGAGGTAGTTAACATCTCCTAGCCACCGTGATGATGATGAGAGAGAGAGAGACACGCAAACTCCAAATATACAGCAGCAGGCGTCAGGGTCGGGATCGAACCCGCGACCTCCTGCACACCCTGGGGTGGGGGAGGGAGGGGGGGCGGCAGTGAGAGGCCCAGCACAGGTTCGGACATTTTGAGGGAGACGCGGCGTGACGCACGGACTCACCCCACACGTCGGACTTGATGGAGAACTTGTTGTAGGCCAGGCTCTCGGGCGCCGTCCACTTGATGGGGAACTTGGCGCCGGCGCGAGCCGTGTAGATGTCGCTCGTCATGAGCCGGCTCAGCCCGAAGTCGGCAACCTTCACCAAGTGGTTCTCCCCGACCAGACAGTTGCGTGCCGCCAGGTCCCTTGGAGCCACACGGGGGGGAGGGGGGGGGGGGACAGAATTTGACGGAATCTTGATTTGGACCAGAGGAGTGGGGAGGGGAGGGAGGAGAGGGAGGGAGAGGGGGGGAGGGAGGGGTGAAGGGAGGATAGGAGAGGGAGGGAGGGAGGGAGAGAGAGGGAGGAGAGGGAGGGAGGGAGGAGAGGGAGGGATGGAGGGGGAGGGAGGGAGGAGAGGGAGGGAGAGGGGGGGAGGAAGGGGTGAAGGGAGGATAGGAGAGGGAGGGAGGGAGGGAGAGAGAGGGAGGAGAGGGAGGGAGGGAGGAGAGGGAGGGATGGAGGGGGAGGGAAGGAGGAGAGGGAGGGAGGAGAGGGAGGGAGGGAGGGATGGAGGGCGGGGAGGGGAGGGGAGGGAGGGAGGGGGAGGGAGTGAGGGAGGGATGGAGGGGGAGGGAGGGAGGGGAGGGAGGAGAGGGAGGGATGGAGGGGGAGGGAGGGAGGGAGCGATGGAGGGGGAGGGAGGGAGGGAGGGAGGAAGGGAGGGGAGGGAGGGAGGAAGGGATAAAGGGAGGGAGGAGGGGGAGGGAGGGAGGGAGGGAGGGAGGAGAGGGAGGGAGGGATGGAGGGGGAGGGAGGGAGGAGAAGGAGGGAGGGATGGAGGGGGAGGGAGGGAGGGAGGGAGGGAGGGAGGAGAGGGAGGGAGGAATGGAGGGGGAGGGATGAAGGGAGGGAGGGAGGAGGGGGAGGTAGAGGGGAGGAGGGAGGGAGGAGGGAGGGAGGGAGGAGGGAGGAGGGAGGGAGGGAGGGAGGGAGGGAGGGAGGGAGGGGAGGGAGGGAGGGAGGGAGGGAGGGATCCGATGAGCTGTATAGCTCCTCTCCGTCACAGGCAGGTGTCCTAGCAGGAGCGGCTGGGTCAGCGAGTTACAAAGTACGCAGAACGATAGTGGTGTAAAGTAGTGAAATGGTGAGCGAGTCACTAAAAGTAAATAATTATAATATATATATAAGTATGCAAGGGATGACACGGCCCGAGCGGACACCGGGGTGAAAACCTCTCCAAGCCGTACTCCGCTCAGCCAGGATTTTAAGGTCAACCGGAAGAACTTTTTTATCTTCCCCCAAAACAAATGAGAAATAGACAGAGCACGGTTGGCTACGTACGGTTGCGAAAGAAGGTCAACATGCATAGAGACAATTGAGAATTCACGCAAAAAAAATAACAAACCGTAATATTTTTTTTTATAGGTGATGCTCACCGGTGGATGAGGTTGCGCCTCTCCAGGTACTCCATGGCGGAGGAGATCTGCGTGGCCATGTAGAGGAGCACCACGGCCGTCACCTCGTCGCGGTCGCACTCACGCAGGTAGTCCAGCAGGTTGCCGCGCGGCATGAACTCCGTGACGATGTAGAAGGGCGGCTCGCGCGTGCACACGCCTGCGGGAGATGGAGCCAGCCTCACCATCTGTCCCTCCGGTCTTGCCGCTAGCCCCCAACCACCCCACTCCCACCGATCCCGGCGATTCGGTTGCGTTTTGGGGGGTTTTGCGATTCTAATTCGAGGGTCGAACCGATTGGTTTGCGTAGGTTTTGTTAGCCCGTTGTTGTTCATCTCCACCACGCTCACCTTTGCAATGAATGCCCACTCACTGATTCACTGCAGCCACTCGCTCACTGGCAGGCGGTCACCTTCTCATAGCTCTTCTATCTCTACGACCGTGGTCAACGATCCCACAAACTTCACCCACTGATTCCTCCACCCCTACCATACTGACCGTTTCGTCTCGTCTTGCACCGCGTTAAACCACCACCACCACACCGCACGTCACAACAACACACTCACTCAGTCAACCACTCTCTCACTCAATCATTCAGTCAACCACTCACCCATTCACTCACTCACTCACTTGCTCACCCAATTGTGTGGCTCCCGACGCTCGAATGGCTCCGCTTCGGAACTCCCCTCCCTATCTGCATGCTGCAGTGGCGCAGCAGCGGTTGGGCAAAGGCCCTGGGTGGAACGGATGAACTGGGGAGGCCCCATCCCATCCATATTGAGCACCACGGTGGCGGGATGTTAACTACCTCGCCCGGTATACAGGAGGTCGTGGGTTCGATCCTGAGCCTGTATATTTGGAGTTTGCGTGTCTCTCTCCCCGTGGTTGCGTGGATTTTTCTCCGGGCCCTCCGGTTATACCCTCCATATTTAGAATCAACGTCACGCGTTTACAGTATTTGGCCGCTATACATTTTCCAACGTGATAAGCCACTTCGTTTGGCTATCATTTGTGATCGCCAGTTCATGTTCTGAAAAATATCTACATAGCTCAGTGGGCCTTACCTGGCAAAATAAATAATAGCTCACAGTTGTTGTTTAATTTCCCCACCTCGTCGCAGCCCGACGCAGGGACGCACGCGGCGGCCACTCCACTGCCGCACCGCACGCACCTGATAGTGGATAACGTTCGCCTGCCCGGCATGCCGAGGTGTGGCACTAACCCAAGAGCTGCACGAGGTTCGGATGTTTAATCTCCTTCATGACGGCCGCCTCGGTCAAGAATTCGTCCACCTCCATCATGTCCTCCTGTGGAAGGCCACACGACGCCAAATTGGCCAGGGGCATAACGATTACGGGGGCGCCGCCTCGCTTGTGCCGAGCAGGGACAGCCGCCGCTGGGGTGGAGGAGGCCCCCCCCCCCCACTGGTTCGACTGCAGCAGTGCAAGGGGACGGTTGAGAAGAGACATATGAGCACACGCACGGATCCCTCTCCCTCCGAACGCGTCATTACGCAGCTGACAAAACAAACATTTTCATTCATTGATAACTATCAGCAATGCGGAACATAGTACGCATTAAATGTGCGAGCCATGGTTGTCACGAGGTATATCACGTATGCTAAATGCTTTCGAATGCCACGTGGTGTATATATAAAACGGATGTTGCATTGCACCAGAACAGGAGCCGTAGTGTACGTACACACTGGCATACCGGCAACGATCTCACGTCTCCGCTGTGATGCAGCAAATTTCTCTCTCCTACCAGCATTCTCCTGCTCGCTCCTTAGATGGACATGAGCTGCCTCGCCCATCTCTAAACCTTGATAAACAGCCAGCCTCAGCAGATTCCCCCTCTCTCTCACCTGATGACGATTGCTGGTGTTGCGATCGAAACGTCGTGATCTATTATTATTTTTTCTGCCTACGTGACTTTACCGAAAGAACCAGAGAGTATGGGGGAGGGGGCGGGGGGGTAATGTATACATGTAAATTACAACGGGTAATCAACATACGTTATGTATGCACATGTTGCACGCACACCGTGCCTGTACATCCTGCCGTTTTTGGGTGCAAAGAAAAATAAATCGCAATACCCGTTGTCGTCTGCTCACAGTCCAACATACGTACGAACATACGACACGTACACACAACGTACACGCAACATACATACAACATACATACAACACACATACAACATACATGCAACATACACACAACGTACACGCAACATACACACAACATACACACAACGTACACACAACATACATACAACATACATACAACATACATGCAACATACACACAACGTACACGCAACATACACACAACATACACACAACGTACACACAACGTACACGCAACATACACACAACATACACACAACGTACACGCAACATACACACAACATACATATAACATACACGCAACATACACACAACATACACACAACGTACACACAACATACACACAACGTACACACAACGTACACGCAACGTGCACGCAACATACACGCAACATACACGCAACATACACACAACGTACACGCAACATACACACAACGTACATACAACATACATACAACGTACACACAACGTACACGCAACGTACACGCAACATACACACAACATACACACAACGTACACGCAACATACACACAACGTACACACAACGTACACAGAACATACACACAACGTACACACAACGTACACGCAACATACACACAACGTACACGCAACATACACACAACGTACACACAACGTACACACAACGTACACACAACGTACACGCAACGTACACACAACATACACACAACGTACACACAACATACACACAACATACACGCAACGTACACGCAACATACACACAACATACACACAACGTACACACAACGTACACGCAACGTACACGCAACATACACACAACATACATACAACATACACACAACGTACACACAACGTGCACACAACGTACACACAACATACACACAACATACATACAACGTACACACAACGTACACACAACATACACACAACGTACACACAACGTACACACAACGCACACACAACGTACACACAACGTACACACAACATACACACAACGTACATACAATGTACACACAACGTACACACAACGTACACGCGTGCCCACCTTGAGCGTCTTGACGGCCACCGTGAGGTTGTACCTCCTCCAGTGCCCCTCGTAGACGTCGCCGTACTGGCCGCCGCCCAGCCGGTGGCGCATGGTGATGTCGGTGCGCTCCATCTCCCAGCGGTCGTGCGTGGGCGACACGCCGTACACCGTGGGCTTGGTGAGGCGCGGCGCCGGGTAGTGCAGCGTGGTGACGAGGCCGTCCGGCACGGCCGAGTGGTGGTGCACCAGCTCAGCGAGCGTGCCGAAGCGGCTCTCCGACGTCACGTACGCCTGCGCGCCGCGTGACGGACGGGCGGACGGGTCAACGCACGGCAAGGTGCTGGCCGTGAACCGCAACGCCGTCGGCCGATCTCGTCGGGGAGCGGGAAACCATCGCGGGAACTCCGGTCATCGCTCGCGGCGGCGACGGCGGCTTTCTGGCTGGCCGTCGCACAAAGACGGCGGTCGCCGCATCGCGCGGCGCCTCCGCGGCCGTCTGGAACGCGCTTCCGTCCGATATTAGGAAGCCACCGGAGCTGCGCACTTTTACATCGGAATGGGAAAACTCATTTCTTTCAAAGTGCTTTACGTTCTTAGTTTCCTGTCCTTCCCCCGCACCCCCAATTAGCACGGTTGGCTACGTACGGTGCGAAAAGAAGTTCAACGTACATACGTACAGACATGAACGGGCCGACCGGCTGAGTGATCAATCGACCGATCGGTTCCCTTCGACCGGTGTTGTTCACTGGGGGGAAACTTTCGCCAATGAGACGTCATCAGCGTGAGGGCCACCGCACATTTGAAACCATTGGGTTTGGCAGCAGCACGATGACGATGGGGCGTTTAAAATATTTGTTGGGTATTGCCGGGGGGGGCGGCACGTGAGGGGCCGCACTAAAGGCCACCAGAGGCCGCCAGTGGCCCCTCGCGGGCCTCGCGATGAAGAACGCTGCGCACCTTAGAAGCTCACGGCACGTGGGTTGGAGCGTCGCATATCAACGACGCGCGGCGCAAAAAACCAACGTCGCGTCGGAAGTGCCGCTCGTAAAAATAAAAAAAAAATCCGTCGCCGTCAAATCGTTAATTTGGTGTCCGCGCCGTTCGCGCAGCACGAGGCCGTCACAGCGGCGCACCCAGTTCCACGTCGCCTGCTGTAGTTTCACAACGGGAGGCGATGGCTTGCCGCACGCGAACCCACCCGAGTAACCTGCGTGGAATCATTTCCACGTTTGGAAATATGGAACGTTACGCCGGTATGCGCGGCCCCCAGGTTTTTCTTTTCTTCTTCGGATAACGTCACGGGATCTTTAGCATCCGCCGCAAAGTAGACGCCGCGTATTCATGGTCAATTTACTGCGATTTTTATTTCACCAGGTAAGGCCCACTGAGCTACATAACTCTTTTTTCAGAAGCGACCTGACCACAAATGAAGTTGGCTTATCACAATTTATAGCAGCCAAACACTCTAAATGCATGTTTCTAAATGTGGAGCGAAAAACGGAAGGAACCAGAGAAAAATCCAAGTGATCACGGGGAGAACATGCAAACTCCAATGAACAGGCATCAGGGTTGGGATCGAACCCACGACCAGACGAGGTAGTTCACATCTCACCACCGCAGGGCCCCAATACAGTATTAACCAGGGCGGCCGCCGTGCGGTTTGGCAACACGCGGCAAAATTCCCGACCGCCACGAGACCGCCCCCAACTCATGCCTCTTGCCATGAGGTGTAGAGGGGAGGTGTAAAAAAAATGTGTCGCGCGCTGGCACACGGGCCAAGCTGCTTCTAGGAAACGCTGCTTGGCCTCCGGTTATTTTTGGGCGAGAAATAAACCTCCGTCAGTAAACACGAGTGACCTCGCGGTCACATTGGTCCCATAGCAAACAAAAAAAGGGACAAAGATCCCCTGTATAGCCTTAACGGACTATTGGGGCGAGTGCTGTTATCGAGCAGCACCTATCAATAAGGCTGGCAAGGCACACGAGGGTGGCGGGCGGGCCAGCAAAACGCCACGCTTTGTCAGTTGATTTAAATTTTTCATGTTTTTCAAAAAGCTGGCAGAATGACCACCTTCTTTAACCTTGGTGACGATTGCAACACAATCGTCGCAAACACAAACAAAATTTAATTAATTCCCGACTATAAAAAAATACAAATCACGCTATCCCCCCCCCGCCCCATTTACCTTTTAGGCCACAATTACCCCAGCAAAAGAGGGCATTTGAAGAGAGGTGACATCAGAGAGCGAGAGAGAGAAACGGCCGATGATTAATGCCAGGGTCTTGGGCAATTACCCAAGGGCTTGATCCCATCACCCGGTATCCGCTCTAGTTTTGCTGGCAGCGAGTTGTGCCCGGGTTGGGTGGGAGGAGAGGGAGTCGGGAGGATGTGAATGTGCGGGGGAACTGGTGGCTGCAAAGCCTGCGTCTAATTTATATCTAAAGATAAAACGCCCGAGGGGGCAGGGGAGGGGCTATGCTCCCCATTCGTGCCGCCCGCGAAGGTCAGGGGGGTGGGAAGTCAAACTATAAACTATTTTTTTATTTGACCAGTTTCCACTGCGCGATGTAGCTCTTTTTCAGAAGCGCCCTGGCCAAAAATGATTGCTCAACGAAGTGCCTTATCACGTGGAAATGTACATCAGTTAAATACTCTAAACGCGTGATGTTCATTCTAAGTGTGGAGGGAAAAACCGGAGGAACCATAAAAAAATCCACACGACCACAGGGATAATATTCAAACTCCAAATGTACAGGTGGCAAGTTCGGGATCGAACCCACGGCCTCCTGAATGACAGGCGAAGCAGTTAACATCTACCCCCCCCCTCCCCCCAGCGCTTGCGCAACAGCAATCTCTCGTGCGAGACGATCCGAGGCATCTCGACAAGCCGTGATGTAGAGCGGTCACGTTGACCTGTGATCCAGCGGTCGATCAGCCGCCTCCTTCTCAACCTTCCATTGCTACTACCGTGGTTACTGGTCCCATGTATGTATCTATGCACGTTGCACTTCTTTCGCACCGTACGTAGCCAACCGTGCTAATCGGAGGTGCGGGGGATGGACTACAAAACTACAAAACTTAAACTTCACTCGTTGATTCCTCCCCCCATGCTGGGGGTTCGCTCTCCTAGACTGACTGTTTTGTCGAATCCACCGCACTGCAGCTCATGACACTGCTCTTTCCGCTTGTTCTCTTGCACCGCTCGACTTTGAAATTCCCCGCCACAGCAGCAACCCCTAGGTCGGAGTCGTCGCCCCCAAAAACGCTGCGCGGAGGCGACTGGTCTGGTCGTGGAATTCGCTGAGACAGCGGTGGCGGCGTCAGGTGACAGGAACCTTTGCGTGTGAAGGAGAAGTTGAGAAAAAAAGACACGCGCACACACACACACATAAACCCACCAGACCACGTACGCGATCTCTATCTCTTAGGCACCGCGGATCAATGGATCGGCTTCGCATGCAGCAGCTAGCATCTTGATGCAGTGCTCGATAGCGCCGAGGTAGGAGGGGCTTTGAGGGAGGGACGTTGAGTCTGTGTTCGCTGAGGCTTGCCATGCAGCATGTATCTCGCAAAGCCTTGTGTGTCCGGTCTAGCTCAAGAGGCTATTAACGGCTGGATGGATGGATGCATTCACAGAAAGACAGATAGACGCAGGGACAGATGAACAAATGGACGGATGCAGGGGCAGACACACGCATGGATGAATGACGGACAGATGCGTGGACACAGACGGAAGGATCGCTGGACAGAGGGGATGGACAGATGGACAGACGGACGTGAAGACGGACACACAGGCGTGCGAACAGACTGATGGATGGAGGGACATGCTCTTGGACAGACGGACGGACTGATGGACGCAAACATGTACGGGCCAACAGAAGGAGGAATGGATGCAATGACAGCGGGACGGAGAGATGGACGGATGAAATGCCGGACGGACTGTTGTTGGATCGAAGCTCTTGTACGAGAGGCAAACGAGGTCAAGATGATCGGCAATTGACGGAAATAAAATAATGAAAAGCAACAAATGAACATGAATATTATCATCATCAGCCATGATCTAACTACGTCTGGAATAAAGTGTCGGCAAGCTGGAGTCATAGCTCATGGTCCTGTGATGCAGCTGAACTCAATGTTCTCTCGGGCATTCATCCCTTCTTTGCCTGCCGATCCATTGTTAGTCTCCATCATCGTCACTTTGGTTGCCGTCCACTTACATTTCTCAGCTTACTGAATGTGCTTTTTCTGTTTACAAACTAAGGCCTATCAGGGCCCCCATGATGTAAACAAGAGCAGTCTCCAACTCTCTCCATCTGTCTACTGCACCTCCCTATTTATGTGCCATGAACAAGGGCCGTTGCCCGAAACGTCTCCAATAACACATTTCTTTTTTTTCTTTTAAGGCCACGCACGCCGTGTTGTTATTGACGAATGTTTAGAGTTACTTTCCTTAACAGTTAATATCACGTCCATAAAATTGAACGCCTAAGCTTTCGCTACCAATATCCTGATTCGCGACTGATTGTTCGCTCTGTAGATTTCTGACACGGACGATGGGCCCCAGTTGTCGCCCGGGCTCTTTAACACGGGAGATTTTTGGTGCGTGAGCACAACAACGACAAAAAAACGTCAACATTGCAGAGAATGAGCGCAGGGTCTTTAAGGAATGTTTCACAACGGCACTCAACGCTCGCTATTAATAAAGTTAAAACGATATAAAACGATAAACTATTTATATTTTTTATTTTACCAGTAAAGGCCCACTGAGCTAGACGGCTCTTTTTCAGATGTGACCTGGCTACAAATGATAGCTTGACGAAGTGCCTTAGCATCATGTGGAAATGTATAGCAGCCAAATACTCTCAACGCACGTTTCTAAATGTGGAGGGAAAAACCGGAGGACCTGGAGAAAAATCAATGCGACCACGGGGAGAGAGAGAGAGACACGCGAACTCCAAATATACAGCATACGTCAGGGTCGGGATTGGTCCCACGACCTCCTGTATACCAGGCGAGGTAGGTAACATCTCCTAGCCACCGTGGCACCCAAGTTAAATGTTGCGCAACGCTCTCCCACATTACCGCTGCCGCTGCTGAAGCAGTAATAAACTGGCACGTTTGTTCATCGTGTGGCAACTTTATATCAATCGGCCACGTCGGGTGGATGAGGATGTACGACACACATTCTGCTAATGCGGCGATCTGACCCCAAAAAAAAACAATTATGAATTAAAATGTCTCGAACAGTTCGTATGTTCTCTAATCTCTGTGTTTCGTCTTCCCCACTTTC